CACCTGACCAGTAAGAAGCAGGGTTAGGATTCAAACAAATGTGCCTCCTACACTCCTAGAGTGCCTCCATCTCCTACTCTTCCTGAAGTCAAGACTTACGTGGCTTTATCTCAAGGCATGGATTTGGCAGCAGTGTACTATTAATTTTTAAAATTAAATATAATTACTGAAAAAACACTATTTATTTATTTATCCATCCTCACCTGAGGATATTTTTCCATTAATTTTTAGAGAGAGTGGAAGGAGAGGAAGAGACAGAGAGAAACATCGATTGTTGCCTCCTGCATGTGTTCTGACCAGGGCCAGGGGATGGAGCCTGCAACCGAGATACATGCCCTTAACTGGAATCGGACCCAGGACCCTTTAGTCCGGGGACTGATACTTTAGCCACTGAGCCAAACTGGCTAGGGCTTATAATTACTTTTGAATTCAGGTTAAATTTACATACAGTAAAGTGAACAAATTCTAAGTGTTACACTTTATATTTCTAGGCACTTGTGTAACCATCACCTGGACTCTAGATCCTTGATAAAAATGCAGGTGATTCCAGCACTCCAGAGGTTCCCTCATGCCCCTTCTTGGTCAGTCCACACCCCCAAAGGAAACCACTATTCTGATGTCTATCACCATAAATTAGTTTTGATTATTTGTGAACTTCATATGAGATCATCAAGTGTATACTTTCTTGTATGTGGATTCTTTTGCTCATCATATTTGCAAGGTTCATCAATGGACAATGTATAAAATGGAAAAGTTCATTTATATACTTTAAATTAATGTTGTTAGAGGTTACAGAAACTTCTAAACCGGATTTTGGTGAAAGATGTATCTTAGTCAACTTAACACTTAGGTACAATTTGTATTTTCATATCTAATATATTTTTTAAAACCTTCCACATTAATACCAAGTACCAACTATATTTTATAGTAATGCAAATTATATTCTTTAAAATAAAACACATTTTTAAGATTATAAAAAATATAAAAAAATATAGAAATAAAAGGTGAAAATTCATGTGTAATTTTATGTAGCACTATCTTTTGAAAGCCTGGTGCAGCAATTCCTTAAAAAGTCTTGCAGATGAGATTTGGGAAATTCATAATTTTTTCCATATATATAATTACTTACAAAAGTGTGGGAGAGCTGAGTAAGTAATCCCACCATATTCCCCTGACTTCATAAGGGTTGCCAGTAAAAATTGTGGAAAATAGCCCTGATCGGTTTGGCTCAGTGGATAGAGCATCGGCTTGCAGACTCAAAGGTCCCAGGTTCGATTCCGGTCAAGGGAATGTACCTTGGGTGCGGGCACATACCCAGTGGGGAGTGTGCAGGAGGCAGTGGATCAATGTTTCTAACTCTCTATCCCTCTCCCTTCCTCTCTGTAAAAAATCAATAAAATATATTTTTAAAAATTGTGGAAAATAGCCTTGCAACATTCAATATTAATAACAAATCTGAAAAAAATGAGTGACAAAAATCTATGCCACAAGTTATATAGAGGATAGCTATAATCTTGAATTAATGATATTCCAAATTTCACTTAAGAAAACCCCCAAAATGTTTAGGAACATAAAATATTTGTAACTTTGCATACATGTAGTTGAAATAATATAGGCTTTGGAGCCACAAAGACTTGGTTTGAATTTCAGTATTATCTTTTTTACTTTGGCAAATTATTAAACCGCTGAGCCTTAGTTTAATCACCTGAAAGATGGAGAATACTTATTTCAGAACTTACATAAATATATATATATATGCCAAGTACTTATAACACCTACTGCTTATTGTCTGTCTTTACCCACTGAAAGGTTATCTTTGAAAGGACAGTATCTTTGTTTTGTTGATTGTTGTACCCCAAGTATCTTTAACAGTGTTTGGCACACATAGTTGCTCAAAGATTATTTGTTAACCATTATATTGTTACCATTAATCCAAGCCTTCTTAGTCACCAAATAACTTGCTTGTGTCATGTCCTCCCTATAATATAGCTTTCTCTATTTACCTTTAGAAATGCTTTTGACATGTGACACAGTGGTACTATGGGGCAGTAGTTAAATAAAAAAACACAGACTCTGAAACCAGATTGTTATTAGTAGGAAAGGAGTAAATGGGAAGACTAGATATAGACAGGCCATTTATACAGTTTTGCAAAAAAAGTGCATTTAGCACTCTCCAAGTCTATTCTCTGCTGATCAGTAGGGGAAAGGATTGTACAAAGGCAGTTTAGATGCATGCCCAACAAGGCCTGAGTAACATGAGAAAAGGCTTGCCTGTTAATCACACCTGGAAACAGGCAATTGGCCAGCATGGACATGGCCACTACATGTGCATGAAGTCTAAATATATATATTTCTAGACAAAGGCTCTAGGGCTCTGGCTCCTGGAACTCCTGCTGCAGGGGCTGAGTCTCCTGCACCTGCATGGCGCTTAGCCATGTTGGGCTCCATACATGGACGAGTGAACTTTAATTAGCCTGAATACTGAACCACACCTGGCTGCAACATGGAACGGGAGCTCTGGACACTGGCCTTGTTTCTGACTTTGCTGGACTCCCAGCTACACCTTTTCCAGGACTGGCTTAAGGGGCAGGGGACTTTGGAACCCAAGAAATGTAACTCCATGCCAATAAAGCTTGTTTCCACATCACATCCTTCTTTCAGGGGCACCCCAAGAACCAAGTCTGGCCCCTGAATTCCTCTGGCATCAACAGGATTCCATATGTATACATTCTGCATTCCATATACATATGTCTTCTTTCGTAGAATATAGGTAAACAACCAAATTGATGCTCATTACTAATTAATTTATACACACACACTCATAGTAGCAATAATATCACTTGTGTAGTGGTTTTACAGGTTCTAAGTATTTTACATATTAATGCATTTAATCCTTCTAACAACCTCTTGGAAACCAAGGCACAGAAAAATTAATTTGTATCAAGTCCTATAGCTACTAAGTGACTGAGTCAGGATTTAGATCCATGTTGGGCTTCAATTAAACACACACACACACACACACACACACACACAACCTTTTTAGATTAGAAAGGATAATACCTAAATAAATAAAAATGAACTAAATAGCCCTGGCTGGTGTGGCTCAGTTGATTGGGTATCATCCCATGCACAGAAGGGTTGCCAGTTCAATTCCCAGTCAGGGCACAAGCTCAGGTTGTGGGGTCAATCCCTGGTAGAGGGCATTCAGGAGGCAGCCAGCCACTCTCGCATTAATGTTTATTCTCTCTCCCTTTCTTTCTCTCTAAAAATCAATAAAAATAAAATTTTTAAATGATCTACATGTAACAATTAAATTGAAGTCTGTTAAAAGAAAACAAAACTTTTGTTAGTACTAAAGAACGAAATGCAGATATTAGTAGATGTCACTAGGTGATGCTGTTTGTTAAATTTCCCTCCCGGTAATCTGAGGAATTATTATTTATTCAGATGGGAAAGAACTTATTCTAGGCCTAATAAAAATTTAGTTGTCTCTTTAGCCACAAAAGTTATACAGTCCAGAAAATAAATTTATATGCAAACAGGTAAGCCACACAAAGAAACTTTTAGTAAGACTGTAAGCTTAGAGTATTGAGACTTCCACATAATGAACATGGTATTTCTCTCTACTTATTTTATCTTTCTCTATTTTTGTCTCCATTTTCTTTAATGTCTTGGTAAGATTTTGTCGACAGAGTTCTTGAGTATTTTAAAAATTTATTTCTGGTTAACATGTCTTTGATGCCACTGTAATGTTATCTGTCTTTACCTTTTTATGTCGAAAATTTTTAAAACATTTTTTTTTCCGATTGATTTTCAGAGAGGGAGACAGAGAAACATCGATTTGTTGTTCCACTTATTGATGCATTCATTGGTTACTTTTTGTATGTGCCCTGACCAGGGATCGAACTCACAATCTTGGCGTATCGGGACAACACTAACCAACTGAGCTACCCAGCCAGGGCCTATGTTGAAATATTTTAAATTGACATTACACTCTTAACGAGGCAAAATGTATGCTGCACACATACCAAACTGACAGAAATTCAGCAATTTGATACCAAGTGTTGGAAACGAGGCAGAGCACTGGAACTCTGACACACTGCTGTGGGGAAGGGAGATGGCAGTCCTTCTGGAAAGACAGCTGGCACTGTAGTATGGTAATACTGATGCCCTCGACAACTGCTAGATTCATGTATACAAAAATGTGTACCAAGAAATAAGATGTGTACCAAAAACACTTACAACAATGTTCAAAGCAGTATTCTTTGTAATAGGGAAAAATTGAGATAACTCAAATGGCTCTTAACATTAGAGAGTATAAAATAAATTGTGGTACATAAATACAATAGAATAAAACAGAGACATCTACATGAACTAGTAACAGCTTTTGCAACAACCTGAATCAATCTCACAAATTTCATATTAATAAAATAAAGAAGAGGTACAAAATAACGTGCATAAGTGTATTCAAAACTAATGCCTGCCACTTATTTTTAAATGGTTCAGCAAATAAAATATATATCCATATCCACCTATTCAGATACAAACAAAATGTGCAAACTGTTAACAAATATGAATCTAAGTAGGATTATACAAAGGTTCATTGCATTATTTTGCTACTTTTCTTTAGGTTTGAGATTTTTCATAATAAAAAGAAAAAAAGTTCAAAAATCAGATAAAGCTAATTTACACTGTTTAGGAGTAGTTCTTCATCTGTGTGATAGATGTATGAGTTTTCTTTATAAGTATTTACTGAACTATACATACATATTTTATGCAGTTTTCTGTATGTATATTTTATAAAAGAAAAAAGGTTAAAATGTGATGATAAAAATACATTTAAAAAAGCTGCTACATACTTGTTAAACATTATTATTTAAAAAATTGCCCTAGCCAGTTTGGCTCAGTGGATAGAGCGTTGGCCTGCGGACTCAAGGGTCCCGGGCTCGATTCTGGTCAAGGGCATGTACCTGGGTTGCGGGCACATCCCCAGTAGGGAGTGTGCAGGAGGCAGCTGATCCATGTTTCTCTCTCATTGATGTTTCTAACTCTCTATCCCTCTCCCTTCCTCTCTGTAAAAAGTCAATAAAATATATTTTTAAAAAAATTAACTTTCTGCTTTATAAAGCAACCAAACATTAAGTTAGGGGGCTTTTGTTTATGGGTCATTTACTTGAGATAAATTGGGACATACCTGAGGACCAATTTTTGAGGCTAGCAATAATGTCATCTGATTTTTTCTATGAGATAGTTCTTACAAAACCATCAATTCTGAATCTTGTTACTTTGATATTCTTCTATATAATTCCCATGAACTGCATTATGATACCCCAGTGCTCACTGGGGAGATCTTCTAGCATATGCTACTTAGAAATTTATTGTAAGAAAAGTCTGCATAAGTTTTATAATTGTTCAAATATTATACACAATTTATATTGTCCATGTATAAATGTTATCATTTTCTATAGGTTATTCTAAATTCTTTATTAGGATTTCACAGTATTTTTCTGTAAAACCCTCAAAGTAGAAAGTTGTTCAGAATTTCATGTTTTCACACTGACTTTTAATATATTAATCTATTTGATTGTCATCTTCTTCTGAGTCATCTAAATCAATACTGAAATCTAAATCATCACTTTCTTCTTTATTTCTTCTGCAGCTTCTTCTACAATTGGAATGTGGATTATTTTCAATGTTTTCTGTCTTTTCTGGTTCTTTATTAAACCTAAAGATGGAAGGAAAAACCTCTTTATTTCCCAGGCTTTCACTATTTACTTGTGTAGATTGAAAATAACATTACACTACATTTCCTGATTAACAGAAGCCTAATGAAATAAGTAAAAAGAAAAAAATCCTTGAAGACTAAGTTAAGACCCAACGAATTATATTATTATAATTCTTTAATGTCTTTTTCAATATATAGTTATTGACTGTTGTCAAAAAAGTAGACTCAAAGAAATTAATGCATGATGTCCAGTAAAGAAAAGTAGTTACATAATAAAGAACTTTTTAATAATGAGTAATGAATATGAACCTCATGGATAAATATTTTAATTTCCTAAAAATATAAAGTTTCTGCCCTAACCGGTTTGGCTCAATGGATAGAGCGACAGCCTGCGGACTGAAGGGTCCCAGGTTCGATTCCAGTCAAGGGCATGTACCTTGGTTGCGGGCACATCCCCAGTAGGGGGTGTGGTGTGCAGGAGGCAGCTGATCAATGTTTCTCTCTCATCGATGTATCTAACTCTCTATTCCTCTCCCTTCCTCTCTGTAAAATATCAATAAAATATATTTTAAAAAAAAATATAAAGTTTCACTTATAAAGTTTCACTTCAATCTGTAATGATAAATTAAGACTTTTTTCTATTAGGTAGAAAAAGTCTACATTAGTGTGATACACTGAAACTTAAGACCTTCAGAGCTAATGAACATTTCCTTAAAGAAAATTTGCTTACTAATTACTAAAACAGTAAAACCCAAACATAAAAGAAGTACTCACGGAGTAACAATGTCTTCTTTCTTTCCACATTTTGCGCAAACTTCAAGTTCACAGGCACATGGTCTACATATTATGTGATAAGAATCTTTCACGGTCTTTTGTAAACATTTAACACTAAAAGTAGAAAATGAAATCAAACATTAATTTTTACTAATTACCTAAGATGTATTTGATAAAATGAAGAAGTAAAGCTAAATGTCTAGATAAAAAGCCCCAAAATCAAAACTCCTAAATTCCAATCGCAGAAAAAGGAGACATATGTAAAACTTTAAACAATTAAAAAAATAATTCCAATCTCATGTATTTATCTTATATAACTTTACATTAAATAAAGCATTTCTAGATAACAGGTTACAGATCAACTTGAGATTTATCTGCTTTCAAACTTCCTTAAAAAATGTCATCTGCAAACAGTGACAGTTTTACTTCTCCCTTTCCAAGTTGGATGCCCTTTATTTCTTTTTCTTGCCTAATTACTCTGGCCAGAACTTACAATACTATCCTATATAATAAAGAGGTGATATGCAAATTGACCATCACACCCTCACACAAGATGGTCACCCCCATGTGGTCACAAGATGGCCGGCAGGGGAGGGCAGTTAGGGGCAACCAGGCCAGCAGGGGAGGGCAGTTAGGGGCGACCAGGCCTGCAGGGGATGACAGTTAGGGGTGACCAGGCCGGCAGGGGAGGGCAGTTAGGGGTGACCAGGCTGGCAGGGGAGGGCAGTTGGGAGCAATTGGGCCGGCAGGGAGCAGTTAGGCATCGATCAAGCTGGCAGGGGAGTGGTTAGGGAGTGATCAGGCTGGCAGGCAGAAGCGGTTAGGGGCAATCAGGCAGGCAGGCAGGTGAGCGGTTGGGAGTCAGAAGTCCTGGATTGTGAGAGGGATGTCCAACTGCAGTTACAAGATGGCCACCACAAGATCGGGCCTAAACCGGCAGTTGGACATCCCCCAAGGGATCCCAGATTGGAAAGGGTGCAGGCTGAGCTGAGGTACACCCCTCTCCCCCAGTGCACGAATTTCATGCACCAGGCCTCTAGTGTTGAATAAAAGTGGTAAGAGTGGGCATTTTGTCTTGTTCTGATTCTACAGGAAAAGGTTTCAGCTTTCCACTGTTGAATATGTCAGCTGTGTGCTGACATCTATTAAGATGATCATATGATTTTCATCTTTCATTCTGTTAATGTGGTGTATCACATTGATTGATTTGTAGATGATAAACTATCCTTGCATTCCTGGAACAAATCCCACTTGATTATGGTATATGATCTTTTTAATGTACTGTTGAATTTGATTTGCTAATAATCGGTTGAGGATTTTTGCTTATAAGGTATATTAATCAGGAATATTGGCCTATAATTTTCTTTTCTTGTGGTATCCTTGTCTAGTTTTAGTATCAGTGATGCAGGCCTTATAAAATGGGTTTGAAAGTGTTCCCTCCTCTTCTATTTTTTGGAAGAGTTAAGAAGAGTTGGTATTAATTTTCTTAGAATGTTTGGTAGAAATCAACAGTGAAGCTGTCTAATCTTGCACTTTTGTTTGTTGGGAATTTTTTGATTATTGATTCAATCTCTTTACTAGTAATCTATTCAGATTTTCTCTTCCTTAATGATTCAGTCTTGGCGGGTTGTATGTCTAGGAATTTATCTGTTTCTTCTAGGTTGTCAAATTTGTTGGTGTATAATTGTTCATAGTCTGTTGTGAATCTTTGTATTTTTGTGGTATCAGTTGTAACATCTCTTTCATTTTGGATTTTATTTATTTGAGAATCCTCTCTTTCTAGCTAAAGATTTGTCAATTTTATGTTTTTAACTAATCAATTCATTAATATTTTCTATTGTCTTTTTAGTTTCTATTTCATTTATTTCAGCTCTGATCTATGTTGCTTCCTTCTTTCTCATTGCTTTGTACTTTTTTCTTCTTTCTCTAGTTCATTGAGGTGTAAAGTTAGATTCTGTTTCTTGATCTAAGCAGTTATTGCTGTGAACGTCTCTCTTAGAACAGTTACTGTTACATCCCAATGTTTTGGTATGTTCTATTTCCATTTTCACTTATCTCAGGGTATTTTTTTTTTAGTTTCTCGCAGATTTCTTCTTTGACCCATTGATTGTTTAATAGCATGTTGTTTATTCTCCACAAATTAGCAAATTTTCTGGTTTTCTTCTTGTAATTTGATTTCTAGTTTCATATCATTGTGGTTGCAAAAGATGCTTGATATAATTTTAATCTTAAATTTTTACCACTTGTTTTGAGGACTAACATATGATTTATCCTCAACAATATTCCATGTGCACTTGAGAATAATGTATATTCCATTGCTTTAGGATAGAATGTTCTGCATATCTATAATAATAAAAGCATAATATGCTAATTAGACCAGACAGCCGAACGACCTTCCAGATGAAGCTGGGGCTTCGAGGGCCGAGGCAAGATGCCACGGCTGTGAGGGCTGAGCTCCTTGCACGAATTTTGTGCATCAGGCCTCTAGTATCTGTATAATATTGTTAAAATGCCCATACTACTTAAAGCAATATATAGATTCAATGCAATCCCTATCAAAATCTTGATGACATTTTTCACGGAAATAAAACAAATAATTCTGAAATTTATATGCACAAAAGACCCCATATAGCCAAAGCAATATTGAGAAAAATGAACAAAGTTGGAGGCATCATGCTCCCTGATTTCAAACTATATTACAAAGCTATAATGATCAAAACAGTATGATATTGACATAAAAGAGACATACATATCAAAGAGAATAGAGAGCCCAGAAATAAACTCACTCAATTAATTTGCAATAAAGAAGTCAAAAATATATTAACAAATTCTTCAATAATTGCTGGGAAAACTGGACAGCCTCATACATAGGGACCACAATTATACATCATATCCCAAAACTAACTAAAAATGGATTAAAGACTTAAATGTGAGACCCGAAACCATAAAACTCCTAAAACTCCTAAACACACACACACACACACACACACACACACACAAACATAGGCTGTAAGCAATGATTCTTTAAATTTGACACCAAAATTAAATGGAACAAAAAATCAAAAATAAGCAAGTGGGACTAAATCAAACTAAAAAGCTCTGTACAACAAAGGAAACCAACAAAATAAAAAGGCAACCTACTGAATGGGGAAAATATAAGTAAAACATGTATCTGTAAGGGGTTAATATCCAAAATATATGAAGGCCTCACACAAATCAATAGCAAAAACAATCTGATTAAAAATTGGGCAGAGAATCTGAATAGACATTTTTCCAAAAACAATGAACAGATGGTCAACATGTATATGAAAAGATGTTCAGCATCACTAATTCTCAGGAAAATGCAAATCAAAACCACAATGAGATTATTCCTTCAAAAAGCTATTATCAAAAAGACTAGAAATAACAAGTGTTGGTGAGGATATAAAGAAAAGAGAACCCTTGTGCACGGTTGGTGGAAATGTAAATTGGTATAGCTAGTGCTATGGAAAAAGTATGGAGGTCCATCAAAATATTAAAAAATAGAACTATCACATGACTCAGCAATCCACTTCTGGATATTTATCTGAAAAAAATGAAATCACTAACTGAAATCAATAAAAACCTATTTTAAAAAATCCACTTTAAACATGAATATATAGTTAAAAAGAAAGTATAGTACCATGACAATGAAGGGATAAATTTTCCAAAAACACACAATATTCCTGAATGTTTATGAATCCAATAACAGGCTGTTAAAATAAATGAGGGAAAACTATGAAATAAAAAGAGAAATAGACAAGTTCATAATTACAACTAGGGATTTCATCACCTCTCTGTACCTAACTGGACAAATAGACGAAAAAAAAAATCAGTAAGGATATAGAACACCTGGTTGACAGAAGACTATGAACCAAATTGACATTTATAGAACCCTCCACCCAACAAGGGCAATATGTTCTTTTCAAGTACACATGAAACATTCTCTAAGATAGATCATATCTGAGCCATAAAACCAACCTCAATAAATTAAAAAAAAACAAAAACCTATAAACTTACACGAAATATGTTCTCTTACCACAGTGAAATTGACTGGAAATCAGTAAGTGAAAAATATATGGAAAATGCCCAAATATCTATAAATTAGAACACTTCTAAAGAATCTACAGGTCAAAGAGGAAGTCACAGAAAAATTAGAAAATATTTTGACTGAAGGACAATGAAAACACAATCAAAATTTGTAGAAAGAAGCTAAAAAAGTTCTTGGGAAATATATATAATTACATGTTTATATTAAAACAAGAAAAACGATCTAAACTTCTACCTTAAGAAAATAGAAAAAGACAAATAAATTAAACTAAAAGCAAACAAAAGGAAGAAATATTGATATAAACAGAAAACAATGAAATTGAAAACAGAAAAACAGAGAAAATTAGTAACACCAAAACCAGGCTCACTGAAAAGATTAATATAATTCATAAACACATAACCAGACTGATCAGGACAAAAAAAGGAGAAGAAACAAATTACCAATATCAGGAATTGAAGGAAGGACAGCATTATAGGTCCAACAGATATTGAAAGAATAATAATAAAATTTTACTGACAACTCTATGCCCATAAATCCAACAACATCATTGAAATGCACAAATTTGGGAAAGAGACATTATCAAAACTTGCTTAAGAAGAAATACTTAATCTAAAAATTCCTCTATCCATTAAAGAAAAATTTAATCATAGTTAAAAACTCTCCAACAAGTAAAACTCCAGGCCCAAAGGGCTTCATTGATGAATTCTACCAAACATTTAAGAAATAATACTAATTTTTTCAAAAACCTTCCAAAAAACAAAATAGGAAGAAACAGTTCCCAACTTATTTGATGAGGCCCTAATAGCAAAACAAACAAAAATTACAGATTAGTATTTCTAATAAACATAGATGTAAAAATCTATGACAAAATGTGAGCAAATCAAATCTAGCAAAATATAAAAAGGATACATATAATGACTAAGTGGGGTTTATCCAAGGGCATGCAAGACTAATTCAATATTAATATCAATAAATGTAATTCACCAAATCAGTGTTCTAAGGAAGACAAACCATATGATAATCTCAATAGATGCAGAAAAAGCAT